GGGGAGGGGCAAAATGAGATTGCTTTTTCAAAAAACGGCAATACTACGTTTTTCATCAATAAAGGTGATGGTTCCCCTTTGAAAACATAAGTGCTTTCAATTCCCCAAAAGAGAAAAGAATGCCAACATAATTGGGGGGGGGTAGGCAACAGGTTAACACTCCTTTTCATGTCTTGTCTTGTGTGCTGCACCTTTGCATTTCAAAGTAAAGTTCACCGCTACCAATTTTCAGGATTTCTCACAGTTTTCACACATAATTATTAACACTTTTACCCTTTACAATATAATTGATAGAACGCACCATTGGGAATGCCTGGTAATAGTTAGTCTTAGGCGTCTCCAGAAGGCTTCACAATAATCATGAAAGCACACACGCAGAAATGAGCGGCTGTCTTACTCGCACTTTTGAATAGAAATTTTACCCGTCACCGGAATCCACAAGATCCTTTGAGGGGAAATTGTTGATATGCATACAGCAAAAAGGATGAATAAAAGAAGCAAATTCAAGAGTCTTCGGTCCTGTCATTTGTTTTTTACGTAAATGCTTTTCCTAATTGGGGAACCATTTGTGTTGCTCGCCCTTTAGGCACAGACTAGGCTTATCCTGTCGAAATATCCACTTCCGTGGAGAGAGCACGGTGCACCTTTGTCGGCTATCAGACGAGAGCGACGGCCTTACGAGGTTAATGAGGGCCCCGGTTTGCCGGTCACGCTCTCGCGCTTTTGACGAACGTTCATCTTTATGTGGCTTTAAAAGCTCAGCATTCCTATGCATTCGAATTGCGGCCTGGTTTACGGCGGGAAATGGCAATTTGTTCATTTTCTAGTCAAAATAACCGGCGATCTGTGAAAGATAAAACGTGCCAAAGAAGGCATTCCTGGATGTGGTATTTCCTGGCTTGCCGCAGACGATCGGCGAGTAAACATTATTTATTCATTGTTGAAAGTAGATACTTGAGACAGGTCCTCAGTGGACCTAAGAAGGATCCACTTTGCTGAAGATGACACGTTTGCACGGAGGCTGAAGTGACTACTTCAGCGCACCAAACAAGCCCATTTAGCTCTTTTCTCATTTTCTAAACTTTTCGCAATGGCTACTGGGGGCACAAGCCTCACTGAGGCGGCCACACACGATTAATAACATCCCTCCCTTCCCAAGTCACTTCGACTCCGCCCATGCTTTCGTCATGCTGTTTCCCATCTCTGATCTTGCTCTTTTTCAGCTGCCCTAGGCCCGAGGAGCACACAATAATAGCAGATCCCACCTGGTCGTGACATCCATGATCCTGTTCGAATTACCACGCTTCCCTACCGCGCTGAAAGGGACTCAAACGCCCCTCGCCAGGTTGTGTTACATACCATTTGTGACTGGATCCGGCAAATGGATTCTAAAGAACACTCTATCGGAGGGGCCAGATTTGTGCGAACATTACAGAGGGAGCATGTTGTTTATTTGCCACTGCCATTTCAATGTGTTGAAATGAGGTATAACAAAGACTGCTCTGAAACGGCCACGTAAACGAAATCTGAGTTTTATGGCAAATAAACAAGTTTTCAGGCGCTCCGAATTGTGTATATTTACATTACATAGTCGCCTGGGTTGGATTCCAGGCGTCTGTCTCCAGAAATAAACTCCAGATTTAACCGATGTGAGTAGTTAAATCCCGCCAAAGGGACAGACCTTTTCCCATTCTGTGGTCAGTGCACCAGCATGGAACGCTAGGTCATCTCATAGTCTTGTGAATTCAGCTGTATCTTTATAGTCTTTTGTAATGCTTATTCGACCATCAAAATCAAGAGAGTGCATAATAAAATTGACATGTTTATTATTTTTCCCCTATATTAGTTCCATATATAACTGAATTAAAAGTTGAGTGGCTTCAAAGGTCACCTTGATCTCAAAGGAAATCAGTGGTGGTGGGATTGCTAACTCCACCAAGTGTATGGTTTTCTGGCTCCTGTCTTCACAGAAGATCAATCTTCAGCCAATATATAGCTTCCAGGCGATTCGTCCCAATTACCAGACTAATGGATCCGGGCGAGGTATCCTCCACCGCTGAAGAAATAAGTTAATTTCCCCTTCAAGCTGAATGTATTTCCACCTTTGGAATGAGTTGCCAGCGGGAACTTGGGAGAAGAGAGGGGGTGGGGGGGGGGAGAGGGGAAAGGGGGAGGGGACGGGGGAGAGGGGGAAGGGTGAGAATTTTTTAGCTTCCCATGATGCAAACAAAATCCTTTGGAAACTAAACGGACAGGAATGAATATGTAGGCCTACTAATATGTCATGTGATTTGAGATTTATTAGAATGTTCAACGCACGGGGTGGGAAACAATATGTTAGGTCATATTTTGCACCATGTTTTAACTGCGATGATTTGCAACATTGTGACGATTTTGTTCCCACTACAGATAGTTACATAACTGAAACTTAGGAATCTTTTCTCAAATAAAGCATTTTTTCACTTCTCTTCGGTTTTTGCAGGTTTGTTTGCTCTTCGCCGGTTTATGCTGTGCTGGTGTTCTTTAGTCAATCTTGTCATTCTTGTCTGAATGGCGAAGAACCCTGCACTTGAACACAACTATTCCTTGACTGGGTTCACAGAAATATTGACTGCGACACACTGGTTCCTACTTTGAACTCACTGAGGCCGCCTCGGACGAAGCATTCCGGAACTGAGGACTCGCTCTGTAAACGCTTGGGCACACGGCGCGGGATGAACACGACACGAGACCGCTGTTTACCGCCCATTAGTTGTGCACACACTGTGTTGGTTGTGTTACGCCAATTATTACTGGACGGTGACGGTGTGCAAACATGGCGCAATGTGGCTGTACTTTTTTTTCTTTCTCCGTATTTGCTCACTTTCCATGACCTCCAATATCTGGGGGCAAGTGAGAGTTCCTATTTAGCAAAACCGCTCATTAAGCTCAAGGGTGCATTGATTGGTAACTGAATATGTAGTTGGCAAGCCGGTGCAAACTTAATTTGGTACGCGGTAAGTGAGTTTGTTTGTTTGGAGTTATGTCACGCCATCCAGGAAATGATTGCTTCGCAATCTGCGGAAAATCTCATTGCCCTGAACAACAGCATGGTTTTTCGTTACTACACTACTTCTGTGTTTTAAAACCAAACATAGACCAGCACAAGTGGGAACATTAACAGACTAGCTACATGGCCATAATAGTGTTTTGACGAAAGGCAGAAGTCTTCACAAACTATACCTAGGTGTATGGCGTGCCAAGTTAACATTAATTCTCTATTCGTAAAAGAGATATATCTATTATGAATAGAAATATCCCTATACGCGGATTAAATGTTAACTTTGCACGCCATATTGGCGCCTTTACGTGAACCTATTCCCCTGACGTTTCTGTGTCCCGTTTGTTAGTTTGTCAGGTAGTTTGTTTTAGATGGAGCGTGTCGTGGAGGGGTGGGTTTCTAAACCTTCCACTCTCCACCTTTTGAGGAAAAAGGTGTACTTGTACTTCATTGCACAACAGGCAAAAGGAATTTGACGCCTCCAAATGCTAACTGTTTTACGCCAGAATTATAGGAAGTGAGTATTTAGAGAAGATGTGCTTGGCGCTTTTTCTTTTCTTTCTTTCTTGTCTCTTTACTGTAGACCCCTAATGTAAACAATTCCATGTATATTGAATTATTTTCCTGCGAATGAATGCCTACCTTTGCCCTCAATATCATCCTCTTTGCCTCTGAATACTATAGGGAAGTACCAGTCTTCAGATCTGTAACAATAGAGGGCGGTAATCAAGCAAACTGGAGCTGTTTACGGGTGCAGTCCACTAATTCA